AGTCCATTAGACTTCTCTACATGTCTCTCAGTTTTTCTTTTCGTTTGACTTTAAATTATGTTATTAATTTTATCAAACACATATAAATACAAAATTAAACATATTAAGAACGAGAAATTAATTCGAATATATTTTTGAGCTTTCACTATAAAATTTGAAAAAGAAAAATGGGGCAAGAAAAGTACTAGAAACTAAAATTTTGTTTTCATCTTTTTTTTTTGTTAGCTATAATGTTTAGATATTATAATGTCTAGTTTTAATTAATTTTAGGGACTTTTATTTAATAAACTTGTATATAGAGTGACTTTCATCTTCTTAATAGTTAAAAACTAATAGTGTACAGTAAATTTTATAAAATAATTATATAGGTCCTAAAGTTAATTAGTAATTATTATTTTCATGTGTTTGTTATAAAAGCTAGCACAAACCAAATTGAGAAACAATTCTCACATGTCAAATAACTAAACATATCGAACTACTATTTATAATAAAAAAATTAATTAAAAAATCACTAAAAGAGAGAAACCAAGGAGCATGAAATTTCTAAACGCGATCATAGAATTTTCTATAATCCTAATAATCTAAAAATTCATAATTCTTTTAATTCTCATCTAAATTATGCAATCTTAATATTTTAAAAAAATTATGGCATGTAAATTATAACTATATATTTTTTACAAAAAGTTAGGGCATAGAATTTGAAAATCAAGCCCAGAAACATACTACCAAAAAATTAATATTTTGTTTTCATTTTTTTAGGTATAACGTCTAAATATAATAAAATAATATTGAGTTTTAAATTAATTTTAAACATATTCGACAAACTCATATATAGAGTGACTCTCAACTTCTTCATAAAAAGTAGAATAACTGTATATGTTTTCATAACTAAATACTAATTTATTGTTTACGTGCTAATTATAAAAGCCAAGTTCCCATCTTAGAACTTGTGGATTATGGGCCCACCATGCTTTTACTACTCTATTATGATATTTGATGTCTTTAAGATTATTGATATTTTTCTCTTAAAATGACATATTATATTAATTTTTATATTTTTACTATCAAATTTTTTATTTATAATTGAAATGAAATAATCTAAAGATTTCACTATTTATATAGTAATTATCTAAACTTTTGAATCAATCACTAATTCTTTAATATGAATCAAAACAAGATTTAATAATGTTCAAATTTATTTAGAATATCTTCTTTTTCAATCCCTTTTAATTTTTAAACGGATATTTTTAAAATTATTCATATCCTCATATACGAACTCAATCTAAAGATTTTCTTATCGAGAAGGA